CAGGCGTTATAGCAGTGCTATACCTAATTCAAGTATTACCGGTAAACATGCGTTGTGCTACTCACACTTAATTGCTCGGCCCACATTTGAACCTCTCCGTTTGATAATATTTATTGAGCGTTCAAATATACAAAGCTTATTCCTTCCCAGAGTATACCCTGAAAACAAATTTTTTGTACAAGCGCAGCGTAAATATAGAAAATGAAAATGAACAGTTTATTGATGTCCTTCCAGCAAAAATGCTAGTATGATGCGCCATTTTTTACGTTTTGCCTCACGAACTTGTCGTGTAAAATTTGGCGAATAAAACGAGAACTTGCAACAGGCACTTTGCAAGNCTTTGCAAGTTTTTTCTGTCACCCGCTAAACGACCCGCTTTTATGCATTCATTTCTTAACCCGTTTTTCTACTCCCCACGGTAATCATAACACACCTACCTCGCTTATTGCTAATAAACATTAGCTATTTACCTCCCACTTAATTACTCGGCCTACATTTAAACCTCTCTGCTTGATTCTATCGATTAACCGTCACTCAAGTTCTATCTCATTCAATATATACCGTCAGTATTCTTGTTCCTTCTTGAGAGTTATATTCGCTGAATTGATGACGGTAAACGACATCTGTAAAATTGAAATATAAAACAACATTATTATAAATCAGATAAGCTGTGAAAAAGTATCATTGAGAGCTTATGCGAACCCCATGTTCTATTTTTATAATGTGGTTATAATAAACAATCTCTTAGTTATGCGTGATTAATACCTTAATTACTTCACGAAAATTTCAGAGGACTGCAAATGTCAACGATATCGGGACCACATGAGCAAGTTACTATCACGAAATGCCTGTACATAGAAACGTTTCAGCATTTGAACTTACCTATGATCGCGTCTGTTATGTATGATGACGACAATGCGCGTTTTCCAGATATACCACTCTTATTTAATCCACTGTTAATGAAGACGATGGAATCCATTTGTATTTTATTCACTTATGAACCAACCCCAGATCTCGTTCGTGTTACAGGCAAGGAGGTATTTTTTGATCGAAGTGTGTTGTCTTATATTCATTCGTGAATAAAATGTGTACTTAACACACCTTTCCCGTTGGACATCAATCACTGTTGACTGAGCAAACGCAACCGACTTATTTAGGTCAACTCTCTCATTTAATGAGCTAATTTCCGTAAGCATAAGGATTGAATACTTCAGCTTGAGGCTTGGGATTGCATATCAGATGTACTCGGTGTCTGATATGAGGACGTGTGATGAATAATTGAAAATGACTAAAAAGCTTACTGTGTCAATGGTGGACTGTTCTTTTTTTCCGGTTGCTGACTCCGGTAAGCCAATATTGTTGCTTCTTGAGTGCAATACGTCATTTCTGCAGTCTACTTACTTCACGGTCAAGTTGTCAATAATAATAGATAATTAGCCTGGTTTAGGTCATAGAAACTTATTTTTGTCCAGTTCAATACCACGCCTAACCTAGCGGGGCTTTATGCGTTTCGCCACTTCAAGTCCCGGGGCTTAGGTTACCGTTTTTCATGACAGAGCAACAGGTCTTCATGACTATGGGGTTCACCCCGTATGCTGTTCACCACAAAAATGTGTGCAATAAAAATGTTTGAGATGAACCACATCTGGTGCACTTTAGCTATCGTATTATCGGCGAATTCAACAGAGATACATTTAAATAAAGTTAAAGCTACTGGAGGATTCACATTCATCAACGCATAATGGGTTCATTGTAGAGTAAAGGATATTCCTATTAAGTTTACGGCAATACATATATATATATGGATAACTTACACAAATACATTGTAATTTGCGGTATTTAAATGATAAGACGAATGAATTATAATAAACCGTAAGGTGCTACCTTCATTTTGTAAACTTATGTAGGAAATAGTGAGGCTGTGCTGCACGAAAATCAGTGTGGAGGACAAGCAAACTGTGCCCCAAAACTAAGGGTCAATTAAAGCAAAGCGAAAAATTTTATCGATAAAATGAAAGCTGAAGAAAGCAATGTATCATTATTGAGAATATAATAATTTATTATATAAGTCTGCAATGGAAAAAGACATGTTTGGGGAAAAACGCTTTTTGAGGGCAAAATTGCCCCTCCGGCGTGTTGACGGGGTGATATCTTGTGAAAACTTTAATATTCTTGTTCCCTTGGTAAATTTATCTAGCGAATTGGTGACAGTAAATGGCATCTGCAAAATGTAAATGTGAAAAACTAATATTATACATAACAAGTGGTAAATAAATTCTAATAGAGTTAATTTGAACTTACTTTTTTGATTTTTTACAATAAAGTCAATAGTACAAATCCCTGCATTATCCTTGAGAACTTCTTCAGGGGATTTATGAAAATTTTAGCTGGTTAATTATATCAATAACATTGGGAACAGAGAAGCAATGCTGCGTTAGGAAATCATTGTATGTGAAAAATGTATCAATGTCTTTTCAATTACCTGTAGTCTATCCCGTTAATCCTGATCATCATCGTTAACCACGGATGCCATTCAAGTTCAATTTCTTACTGATTTGCGTTGTGAACACGTGCCTGACCAGTAGGTGCACGCACTCCCACGTTGTGTCACTTTCACTGGCGACGAAATAAACCACATGTAATTATAAAGTCAGCAGTAAATCATACCATTTGACAAGTCTGTGCGCAAAAGACAAAATCAGAAATTAAGAATCCCTGGTAGATTTCCTTGCTCTTCTTCTCGTCTGACAGAGCCTCGAACTCTTGACCGCTGTCAATGGGCAAGCAAACACTAAAGACTGACAGTTCCGTCTGTAAAGTGGGATGCATCTTTTATAGAATTTCATTGAAAACCCAGTTCAGGCAGTCAAAGCTATCTTCCAGGCAATCCGACCTTTCCACTGGTAACGAAGACATACGACTCCTTTGGTAATTCATTCATCTTTAACTTAGGTGGTAGTGCCCGATCTATGTTCTGTATTGTTTTATGAATAACATTTGCAGTGTACTCATTTTTTTCGTTGGATATCAATTCCTTTAGATTGCGCAGTTAAAACGGACTTAATCAAGTTTGAAAAATATCGAAAGATGATACCTCGGGTTCTTCCCGGTATTGCAATTTATATCTGAGCGCTTTCAAATAGTTACTTACGGTATAAAGCTTTTTAACAACTGAAACTGACAAGTTGTCCGTAGAACTCACACTTTGTGCACCGTGGCCTCCGTGGGAGGTCCTCCACGGATTACAATCCCTTTTATAGTTTTTGTTAGATAATTGACCCGGTTTGATTCATATGTATATCAAACATAATATGACAAGATATATATTCATAAATATCTTGTCATATAATTTCCGTTTTCAGTTGCTTCATTTCATCGATCGATTGGGATATCTGGAGACATTTGCAGTCTTCTAAATGTCACAAAATGTATTGACACATTGGCCACGGCTAAACGGTAAACGTAGGTATATGCCGTCTTGATCACGCACTAAACGCCACTTGTTGATTGCTGGGATAATAGAAAATCGTGTATTCCGGAGGCATTCTGAGGGGAGTTTAAATCTCTTACATTATTTTGTATTAGTTGAGGTGCAAATTAATTTATACACAAGCCAGAGGATACGTATAAATTTCCCAGACAGCAAGTCGTCAGCTAAGAGCGTTCTATCAACCAGCTACAAACGATTTACGGCACCAAAATTGCAGCGTATACGTAGCTCATTATTCGGCTAATAGTGCCTTAATAGCCAACAACAACATTTAGGGAAATTCCTTTCTTTTTTTCTTTTTTAATTCAACCCCCTTATCAGCCTTATATTTTCACACGGTTTTACTGTCTCAGTTGACTGAAGTACAATTTACGCATTGATAAAAACACAGTTAAGTGACTGATAAAGCCCTGTATTGTCCTTCCTACTGCATTAGGTAAATGGCGATTATTTACACCTTGAACACTTTTCTGCTATAATCACATGCATTTGTATACATATTTCACATAAAAAGAAAATCATCTAATAACTAAACAAGTTTATGAAAGTCAGAATATGTTTAGCATTTGCTATGCAGTGCTTTCTCGGCGTAATTTTTGGGGACAAATTCTGTCCGCAGTATGCCTGAGTCATTTCCGTATTTCTGGTTCAACGGCATCCATTAAAATATCGGTAGATCTGGGGTTAGTACAAATGACATCTAATCAAGTAATGCACATCTTATTGTAATTACCTAACGACAACTGCTTCAATAAAGTAGTAACCGGGTGGTTGTATTTTCCTATGCTTTTCGGCGTAATTCATTACACTAGCTAACGAATCGTGCAATACGGAGTTTGCTAAGCCTCTTAAACGACTACACGAATTGCCTCACCCAAACACTAACCTAAACAGTTTGGACAAAATATAGAACAAATCGGATTTCTGTTCACGGTCAACGTACAAAACAGCTCCAATTATAATCTGTGTACAACTTCTTAGTGTGTCCGTGGATCATGGGGGACCTCCGAAAATATTATTAAAGCGCTTCCAACCACACTGAATCGCAGGGGGTACTTGCACGTGGTTTCATGAAATACGACTGACCATATATGTAATGCTTCATGCGATTGTTTCAAAGTACGTTTTTCTGCAAACAGTGGTGCAAAATGTTGAAGAAAACAAGTTAGACTTACCAACAGCAGTGTGCATGTCTTATACTTCAAGAATATTTCACGAACATCCAAGTGTTGAAGGGATATTGGAAGTTATTTTCAGCAGTAAATTCATATGGATGGCATTCAGTTTCCCACTCATGGAATCAACTTATATAAGTAAACAGATAACGAATAAAATACACGTTTGTTCTGGGATACCCTTTTCCGTGCTCATAAAAGCTCACGTCACCACAAACGCTTAATCAGTTGCCTTTGCTGTATTCTTATGCGAAAAATGTCCGAGATAGGAAGATGAACCACACATGTTGTGTGCAATTTTCAGTTAATATAAGCATGCTAAAAATGTAAACTCAATGAAGAAAGTACGTCTATGTCGTATTTTGAAATTTCGTATCATAACTACTGCCTTTGTGGAGTCTAAAAAACTGCATCGACTTTGACAAAACTTATCTGTTGTTTTTTTAAGTCAAACACAAGATACGAGTGTTCTTTGTCCATGCTTCCTACTCCGGTGTTTGAAATGCCCACTGTCTTCTTGCTTTTTTGCTTAAATCATGAACGATCTATTCCGCTCTGATGAATTTGCTGATTGTGAGTAGTATGAGGATACTACCATTCAGTATCTTCATCGTGATGCTAACTGTATTCGTAATCTTTACAACTGCTAGATGAAGACGTATAACAAAACATTTTACTGTGTAAGAAATACATGTTGCTGTGTAAGAATTAACATTTATCATGTATTAAACCACATTTAAAATTAAAAAGCGTTGCAATATTCACTTTAATGACAAAAAATTACTTTGAATAAACTTGCTGTCTCGATATTTTCAAGTCGTTCTGTCAATTTTTACGTGATAAGCACCAGGTCAAAACTTGCTAAGTTTGGACTGCCTCCGTGCTGAAAACGAGACTCTCTTTCAGCCTGAAAAATTTTGGATTTTGTTGATGCACTTATTTTGAGAGCAAGCGCAGTTGCATTTAGCACCCCACAAGGTTTCGTGATATTTTTCTTCCTCTTTCTTTACTTGATTGAAGATCACCTATCCAAAACTCTTGATCCAATTATGCTTATGCTAATAACGGTACCATGCATTGTCCTCTTTATTATATTTTCTGTTGCGCTATCCTTTATTATCAAATGCCTGTTTGCACTTCACTCAATTACGACCTGAATGACATTGTTGCTTGGAGCATTAAAACCCGAGATGTTTTCAAAATCCCCTGAATGTCTATATCTCGCAAACGTAATTTCTGTGCTCTCAATCTATATTTTACAAACTTTATTTTACAAGTTCAATGAATCTTACGCACATACATAAATAGCAAACTCACAGATGCTTGTAAATTTTGCCTGTAAATTCCTGTAGTTTGGTACGCAAAAGGTGTAAGCGGAGCACGAAAGAAATATTGTAATCAACCAAATATCCGATAATTACTGAATGCATTGATTAGGGTAACAGTGTGGGAGTTCGAACAGACAAACTGTGATACTGTGGGATGAACCCACTGCCCGCTACCCCATCACTGTTGTCTCAAGTTACTCTCTTAGAACACCCATGTATTCAATCGTTTATCTTACATCTGCCAAATAGTGTGAAACTCGTGTTGATAGATCTTTTGCAGACATCTTAGGCATAGAAGATACTAGTGGAGGTTCTGGTAGCCACCGAGCGAANCTTGTGGAGAAAACACATTCAGAGATGCACAGTTGTTGTCATTGATCCATCTTCTAGCTTGTCTTTTTAGCGAGCATCTTGACCTCTGATCCTCAGTTATTCTGTCGTTTTAGTTACTCAAATATTTCAGCTTTGCTTTGCAGTACATTCCTGCAATAGGCGAAAATCGGATTGGACATGACCACGGGAAAAAAGACAAAGAAAGATGAACAGAGTTCCAGTGAGACGGTAAGGTTGATCAATAACCCATGCATGGCGTGATGCAGTTCGATCCAGTGACTGTGGGTTTGCATCAGGCTGATTCGGCTATTCTTCTTCTCAATAGCCCAGAAGATGATGTGAAAATTCGTGCCGCAGAAGCCCTATATAAATTTGCGATTAAAAGTAACTGCATCGATCCTGATCACGAATCAGTTTCTCAGGTGAAGAGAATAAGAAGTATATATTTGGACAAAATGTTTGTGATACCCTCATACAATTGTTCAAATCGGAAGACAAAATTGTGAAACGAAATGCGATGATGGTTCTTGGTGTGGTCAGTGAGATTCAAATCGCTCGGACCTCATTATTGAAAAAAGCCGGATTTGTTGCACTGCTGATCAAAATGCTCCAACAAGATGGTTTGTTCCCGGTTGAAAATTTGATCACTTTGTCCAAAAAAAGAGTTTGACACGACCAAGGAATTCGCGCTAATGACTTTGTCGCACATGTGTTTGGAGTTTCAGGGCATTTTTAGTATAGTGGAAAAGAAAGGACTCGGTCCGATTGCCGAGTGTCTGAAGCATACCGATCCCGATGTGCAAAAGAACACATTAGAGGTGCTTTGTGCCACACTGCAAGTAATTCAATGCTATTAACTGGAGAAGTAATGGCACCTTTACCCCACCCCGTTTCATGGCCCTAGGATTTTGAAGCACGCCCGCTTTTACGATCGAATGAAATCTTGGCCTCGCTCATGGATCTTCTTAATTCGGAGTACCCTGTCATACAAGATTTGACACTTCAGACGTTTGCTCGTGCTACTCTAGACTGTAAGTGCAAACAATAATCTGATTTTTTAAACGTATGATAAGAAATAGCAGATGTGATAACGTGTTTACAATGATACCTCTCATTTTAATTAAGACCTTTTTTTAAATGCCTAGTTCCCTATTTACCTAATTTATGGGTAACTCTACTCAATAACCATTCCCTCACGCGTGCACTGAAGAGGCTCAAGAATAGTCAACCGATAATTTGGTATGAAAATTTGATCAACCTAGTCACTTGAGTAACTTTAGTCAATTTTATACGTCGGAATTTCAGGAATCGGCTTACACGAGGCTTTGGATTTTGTCAACAACATAGTTGATCGTCTGGTACAAGAGCATGCGACCCCATCGGTACTAACGTTTGGTGGTGACCTACCATTGTTTTAATATAGGTTACTCGATTTTCTACCTTCGTTTAATTCTTTCCTGTCATACGACCTTCTGTTGATAATACCCTAATAATCACATGTGCCCTTCTAAACCTTTCGACGTCATACGGATAGCGGACTAGTTTTCAGTTTATGACTTTGCACAAATCGAACCGTGGCACTTGTGTAACGATTTCGGTTTCGTTTTAAGCTGTCTATTTAGTCATGTAATCAGATTGATCTAAACAATTGCCTTTTTGAAGCCATAGAAAAATTGAACTAAATCTGCGTTAAAATTGAGTAGATGCAAAAGCGCAAATGTTTATGACTATGAACTACCTCACTCACTGTTTATGGCCGTAAATTAAGTAGGGTATGAGGTCGCTAACCAAAAAGCATAATGCAACCTATGCAGCCAAAAGTCCTAAACGAGATTTTCAAACGCTCATACTTAGTCTTATTCTGAGCTTTATTTAGTTTTCCTGACCTACTGCCTACCCGGCAAATATCCGACGTCGGGGCAACCTCTCTGATGACATGAATAACACATGCTTCGGTCAACATGCTTCATGGACAAAGTATTGAAAATCGGTTCTCGTAGCTCGGGTGAACTGAAATCTCTTTCGCCTGTTCGCCAAGCTTGGCAATTTGTTTGCAAACGTTTCATCACCAGCCGAGGTGCACCGAGTCGAACATAGTGAGAACAAGGGAAAAAAGTAGTCGGTGGAGAAGAGTGCATACGTAAACAAACGGATACAAGCAGAACACTGCCACTTCACAAGCACTGATCATGTCACCTCGCCTGGTGATGAAGCGTTTGCAAACAAATCGCCAAGCTCAACAAACAGGCGAAATAAAAATCGTTTCTTTTTCATACTGAACCGGAGATTTATCAACTCTTATCGAAATAATATCCAGGGGATTTGGGCACAGTCAGAATAAACATCCAGAAGATGAATATCCTATTTGAACGTCCAATATAGTAGCAGAGGTCGGCGAGGTTTATCTTATGTTCTCAGATCGCGTACCAGAACCAATGGTCATTTTGATCGACATTTACGTAATCTCCTTGATTGGCACTGAACCTTCTTTGAGTCGTTCCGCAGGTGGTTGAATGGAGAGGTGATGGGAGATATCCGGTTCGGAGCCCAATTTGCAGCCGCGTGCACGGACACGACGAATAAGCAAACATTCTTCGTTCTGTTACTATTGACCTGAATGGAACAATCGAGATTTACGGTGTGTAGTCGGCTATTGATTGGAATCCAGTAAGGAAGTGAATGCTCAACGCTGACTTAGCACAATTCCAATACTAGCAACACAACGAGCATCAGATGTCGAATAGCCTCTTACACCGAAAGTATAGCCATAGGTACTAGACCGGGTTCAAATAGCGCAGTATGATAACTAAGACAGGTTATTGAATGCATGTTTCTCAAACCTAACACAAGTTTAAATTGAAATGGTTGGGGGTTTCTAGCTAAGATGACTTTTTGGCTGATCCAATGGAGTATGCAGTCATTCAGTGCGGTTTATTCATTGCAGTAGCTTCTACGTTGCATAGCTTCCTAATCACTGAGCAATGTGAAGTGATCGGCGGGAACATGAGGAATCTCGTGTAATTCGAGAGATGCAAATCGATGAGGAAGCGGGTTTTCTGAAAGGACTTCCAAAACTTTAGGGCGTGACATAGCCCTGATTGACCCAACCCGATGAAAGATTTTTCTTGGGAAATCCTGACCGGGTAGTCAGTTAGCGGCAGCCAGTTGCGAAGTACGAACATGAAAATTTGGTTTTGCGCAAAATGAAATTGAAAACTCTTGAGGTCAGCGGCTGAATGCATGTCACACTTCAACGTGTGCTTTGCAATAGCATTGAATTTCATTTAGTGTGCATCAAACATTCATTCAAACGGTCTCGTCAATGACGCAGAACTTTGTTCAAAGTTCCGTGCTCGTTGAGCCGCACAAATAATACCACGTGTACTCTGTGCGGTTAGACCTCCGTATGAGGTTATTAGGAATACATTTGACATTTTTTTTAGACGTTTACTGATCTGAATGGTATCCAAGCATTGCTATCAGACCCGACTGTGCATACACAAACCCCATTCTTCAGTTTAACTGATTATGCAGATCGAGCAAAATTGTAAAATGTACTAATTGGTTGGAAGGTATTTTCTCCAAAGGGATTAAAATCTATTGAGATAAAGTGTATCCGTATTGCCCGAAAAGCGACCAATACCAGCACCACTACCACTTTATGCTCTTTGACCCCTGTTTAAACGCAAATCAAGTATAATTAGACATTACCAATGAGTGGATTTAACGCTAAATGATAGTAGCTGACACTGTTGATGTCGATGTTGGAAGGTTCTCTGAGCTGGGAATGTTGTTCGCTGTCGTTTTGTAGCCTGACTGTGTGAAAGTTTGCTGTAAAAAACGAAATATTCCTTACTAGAACCCATCCAATCGCTGTGACTCCCTCTCGCTCTCTGCCCCTCTCAAACGCTCTTTTTGTTCATTTTTACAGCCACTATTCGAACGGCCCTACGGGAAATGGACGCACTAAATCATTTTGTTAATATAATAGGAAATTCACAGTGTAATGATATACATGTGCCTGCTTTGGTTGTGATCGCGAATCTCTTGGAAGATACTGAATGTGCCAAGGTAAGCGAAAAACAGAAACAGAACGAATACACTGCACTAGAACCTAATAAACAGTGGAGGATTGAAAATGTTACTGCACTTCATCACCGATCGGAATGTGTTTCGGGAAGAAGAACTGCGCCCACCATCGGCCGCGATGTCCGTACAGGACAAAGCGGGTAAAGGAAAGAAACCACAGGAGCGTAAGAGTGCAAAAAAGATCAAAGGTGATGCTACTGGTAAGTGCAGTCACCAAATAAAACCTGGGGGAAAACCGGGAAAACACGTTTTATAGGTTTGCATTTCATTAAGATTTATACTATTTACAATTATTAAATTCATTCATCAGCACTTCGATTTAATTGCAATCCTCGGGAGACAAATAACTTGAAGATTTACATTAGATATCTTTTTGCAATGATGACTCAATGACTGCTAACCTACACTTGGTATTCCACAGATAAAGAATTGTAAATTAACCTTTTTCTTGGTCTGAACGGCACGTTTATCTACCATCTCGGGTGGCATTGCACTCTGACAACTGTCCTAAGAGTGGTGTACAAGTTACAAGCATTCCTTGGCCTTTTTGTTAGCCCACTATGATGAATTAGAAGATCTGTGGCAGAAACACGATTGTCAAAACCAAATAAAAATAAAATATTACATAGCTGTTACATTTTTTAACCGAATAAATTATCACCATTTATAAGTGAATTACGAGTTCTGTTACTTGACCAGCTCGGAAAGGCGAAGAGAAACCGGCATCCAATACGTTGCCCGAAGCAAAAATTCAAGCCTGTCGTGCAGTGATGCAAGCAGCTCGTAAAGGTCAGTTCACAAAATTAGAAATTTTCGTGTTCTCTGAATCGTATGACCTCCTTAGATAGAGTAATTACCAACTGTGAAGTATTGACGCATTGTATAGATCTTAGTACATATATTATTAGACTGACATTTACAATAATAAACTGTCTTTCTTTTTCATAGTCATCTGGTAAATAAGAGCAACACGTAATTGAGACTGCATATGTTTTCTTTCTATTTGTTTGTTTCTTAGCTTTTGAAAAACCATTGATTTGTACTCATGTGTGCCCCGTTCTGCTTCCCTGCCGTAAAGCGGCCCGTGATTTGTATATGTCAATAACTGTTGACCTTGGTAGAGAACAATCAAAACAACCAAATCAATCACGGCGTGGAATAGGTTGGATATTGTTCAGGAGCATAAATCGTTTTCCAAATAGTATGTGCAATATATCGTACGAATTAAACCAAATTTGATTTTTATTGTATATCGTGCGCGCTGTGTTCCAGATTATTCTTTCATTTGATCCAATTCACATTCAAATTTTTATTATTATTACGCATAATTTAAAACGCTGATGCTTGTTGAATTCCATAGAATGTGAACACTCCGGTTTCAGTTGACGGTACGGTTATCGAACCCCAACCAGTAGACTCACATAGGTCCAGTTAGGCTCCCTGGATGGGGACCTCGGGATGACAGTAACCGGTGGTTAGCGACACTGAGTGACGTGACTGAGTGTCGTAAACAGTGGCGTTCGTGCATCTTCTCAATTTCTTTGCAATCTTAGTCCACTCACAATCTCCGTTTTCTGTTCGAATCTATTTTCAACTCTCCTGGTTTTCTGCTACTGTTCATCCAAATAGGTAACCAAAAGACAGCAAACAAAACCGGCGCACGAAAGTGCATGGTTAATGGTTATACAAAATGAAAAATAAAAACAATTGACGAATGTGCAATTGAATTATTTCGTCAGAATTATTTTGTACCAGGTGCATGAAAAATTGATTCAATTAAAAACAGGCAGTGTCTGATAATGATAAAAATTCGCTTTTAGAATAGAAACTTTTATCCCAGTATACTAAACTACACTGAAGGAAAATTGGCCGAGAGCCGGTCCGTTTACCCAGGACACAAGGATAGAAAGTGAGTCTATCTGAGATCCGTAATTGATTTGGTCGATACACAGAGCACAAGGAAGCTCTAATCTACGCATCTATACAAACGGGCCACTGATCAGGGTACCATTACTGAAATTATTTCTTCAAACATCCAGTTACAAGGTCTTATGCTCCTTAGCCTGGCAGGTGAAAGAAACCCAGTCTTCCATGCAGTTTTTCATACGACGAGATTTACTGAATGGTGCTGAATTCCCGAGATCTACAAATTAAATACGAACGCCTCAGGCTGATNAAGCAGTGTCATTCGATTTGGAATGATGTACAGGCGGTATTTTCGTTGCCTTATCCTTTAGTTTCTTCCATATACTATATCCAATATCGCCTAGAATGCAGCTGGGGTGATAAAAGACATCCATTCTGCCTGGAGACTCCAATAAGATTTTTATACTTCGTTTGTGTGTTGAGCTGCTAAGCGGTAAACGCAAACTGTTTCATTGGAAGAAGTAACGGAATTTGTTAGTCTGTCATTTGCATTTCACAAATTCGAACAAGTTGACGATGACAAGACCATTTTCCAGGTAAGATGGCGTTTTCGCAGTTTTTCATTGAGCATCAACATTTGGTGACCATTGGTGGAGTTCTTCAATGTTTCTTCTATGATTAAATCGCAAGGTACCAAGGGTATAGAAAACCATTGTCGAACGCTGATGATAAGTTTAATCGATCTCTTTGTTTCTCTTGAAATCCTTACTCGAATGAGAACGTATTGATGCGGTGACTTAAATAATCTAACATAGTTATGAGCATCAATTTGAACTGAATCATACTGGGCAGCGTTTCATCGCTACTCCTTATAGGGTCGATGAAGATCACGATCATTGGTAAGTTTTGGACGTGACATCTGATGCCATAGCGACCGCCGTCTCATTCAACCTGTTGGTGGCGTATATTTTTCTCTCCTTCAGCTGCATCAGACAGTGAAGGATACCTTTAGCCTCGACCGGAACCAAACCCAAACAACAGTGGTTTACGCACTTGTTGTGATATATATATATATCGTAGTTCATACATGTGAGAGCAATTCTTTTTAACTGAAGCGGCGAACGCTTCATCCCTGGTGCATTGATTTTGCTTCTCAATTTAAGCCCCATTGGGCAACTCATTCCGTGAAGGAATGTGGGGTGAAATCAGCTGAGACGGCCGAATTCGCTTTGTTTCAGACTGCACACCGACATGGAGTGATAACTTGAGCATCTCCGTGATCGTATGAGCTACACTAGGTTTCTCCCAAACAACCCCGATCCTGAAAAGTCAAAGGCAGAGACCAGAAGAAACTGTTTTATAGGACCAGATGGTTGAAACGACAGACTTCCTTTGGTATTTTGTTTGCATTCTTAATGGATTATCCACATACTAATGGAAGGTTGCCCATCTCCAAAACAGATATGTTGAAATGTTAGTCAAATCTAGATAGTGAGCTTTCCGCGTTTAAACCTATTAAACTCATGTGATACTTTGAACTGCAACTCCATTTGTGTCGACTAAGTCCATGCCATTTGTATGTGATGGAGACTACCTGAACAGTGTTTGTAGCAACATGTAAGTGAACAAAAGTTTGGGGAAAAGCATAAACCAATCGCTCAGCTGGTATAATATCCAAGTGAAACTTAAATTACAACTGACTTTATCCCATTCCTGTTGATCGATAAATTAATCCAGAGGAAATCCGCAAGATTATGCACGACGCAGATGTGGAACGCATGCTGGTCGCTCTTCTATCACACGAAGACGAGGGTGTGCGGTCCTCAGCAGCCCACGCAATTGCAGTGCTCGCCGAGAGCTCTGTATCTCAAAATAGCATCTCTGATTTGGGTGAGTTAATGCACACTTGTAACACCAATCGATCAGTTTGAAACAGCTATATTTGAACAAGTTTCAATTGTAATTTCAGCCCAAATGGTGTTTTTAATTCTATCCGCGAACGTAAATGCTTCGTGATATCTACTTACGGATGGTTTATCTGGCCCAATTATTGACAAGACTTGCTATATTTATATGGACATCTGCAGCTCATTCCCCTTTCGAACATGCCATGGAATATGTTCGTTTCTTCACTCTAAGTTCAGCAGCATTGTTGGACATTCACGGGGCCGAGAACAAAACAATATTCAAACTAAAATATCCAGTGCTTAGAAAATCGCAGACTGCAGTCCATAGAATACTGTTTCTGTTTTCAATTTATGGAAAATATTTTGTTCAGGTAGCCAATTCGTTTAATTGATGCAACAGCACAGAAGATTGATAGACCGTCCCACCGGCACTGAAAAAAATGCCAACTCTGGCATTATTATTAATTTATCGGATTTTTAGATTTGTGTGGTTTCTAAACCGGTTTCATCGTTATCAACGAAACAGTAAATGAACTGCAGAAAACACAATGTATATATACGGCTTTACTATTACACCGTGCTTGTTAGCAAGCCGGTAACAGATATATGTCAAATGTAAAAGAAGGAGGGGTAAAGAGAGGACCTTGTCACCAGTGTAAGAACAACCTAACATAAATTTCTTATAGTTGACACAGAGGGCTTTCATCAGTTGTTAGCAATCGCTTTAACAAACCTTCGCAATCTATAGATTCATGACTTGTAGCACATCCCAAACGCCGTGCTTCAGTCAGACTGATAGTACGCCATCGGAAGATATCGAGCTATGAGAGATGATGGGGTCTCGTAGTTTCAACCGTCAATTCCATGCGGTGAACTTGACCTCGGTTGCGTCATCAGTCATAGCTCGGCATCGGATGGCGCATCTCGTACCTGACTGACTTTTTGCTTTGGCTCAATGGGAGTAGCATTTTTTCGTAGAGAGACAATTTTTCAATGTAGCAATTTCTGGGCCATTGTCATTTTCCCTGAGTGTATTTATTGGCATCAAAAATATGACAGGATAGCAGACTCTTGAGACAATCGAACAAATGTCACCTTAATTTGAATTCATTTCCCCCCCTAAAGATCAGCAATCTTCCAGCTATTGCTTATTGCCACTTGAGTGATACAATACTGGCAACTCCAAGTCACATCGCTGAGTGAAGTATAAAATGGACAGCAGGGTCCACGTATACCACTAACTAGGGATGCGGACCATGTTTTCACCATCTATTCAGAGAAACTGATTTATGAATGATATATTAATTTATGTTGCAAGAACAGAGATGTGCATTTTAGCAAAACAACAAAGTTTTTATTAGGTTTAACTTTTGTTTTATATTTTATGTAAGGCTCTGAATTTTTAGGGAGGTATTTTAGTAAGAACGGATCATTCATTATCGTTATCTTTCAGGTGGTTTAGAATTACTTATTCGAATGACCCGAAGTGTTCACAAATTACCAAAATCTGCGGGAATCACTGCGTTGGCCGCGTTGACCAATCAGAACAGCGCAATATGTCGGTGAGTAATAGGTGCTCACTACTTGGTATTATTACACCAATATTATATCCAACTTTATATATCACCACATCAACACACAGCAACAAATTTAAACCCAGTTGTGCAGCAGAGGTGCCAAAAACCATCAAAAATGGCTAGGAGTATGTCTAAAAATCAGACTTGCATACTGTCAGATCCGAACGATGTTCGGAAAGTACCGAAAAATGGATGCGACAGGTGATATGTTTTATATAAGTTGTAATTGTGAAAACACAGCGACGTCGGTTCAGGTGAAAATAAATCGATGTTTCGGTTACCGTGGGTAGCTTTTATCAAGGCGATTTTACAATCGAATGAGTAAGAAAGACTTTGCCAACTACGCATGTACTGTGCATTTGTATGCAAGTCTATTTCCGTGTTTGGGTGAACGTCACCAATCCGGATCGGGCGTTGGACTCATCGGTTATTGCAACGTTCGTCTGTGGGGTCGGGGTTATCTGAGGCCAAGTCAGCATTAGAACGAGTGCTGACAAGTGGCTGTAACGCTGTCCAGACGTTCGGAATCCCTGCCCCGTCGTTTCGGTTTACACACCCAGGATGGGCACTAATTGCCAAAGCCTCAGCGTATAGGTGCTCGGTGTTTGTTCGGAAACCTCGTTGGAGAACTTTCGTATTGACAAAATATTGAAAATCGGTTCTCGTAGCTCGGGTGAACTGAATTCCATTTCGCCTGTTCGCCGAACTTGGAATTTGTTTGCAAACGTTTCATCACCAGCCGAGTTGACATCATCAGTGCTTGTGAAGTGGCCACTTCACAAGCACTGATGGTGTCAACTCGGCTGGTGATGAAACGTTTGCAAACAAATTGCCAAGCTCGGCGAACAGGCGATATGGAACTTTCGTATTTTCATAGTCGGTATGATATCCCTCAGCAATGGCATGAATTGCGGTTGCCGAATCTCGTTCGACTTTGTTGAACTGCGCGGCATAAGTTGGTCTGAATTTTTCTTTTCTTTGATGTTGGGTGTCTCTCACCCTAAACTGTCTGCATGTTTGGCCAATATATTCTGCTGGTCAGTCCCTGAAACTGATCTTTTAAATGCTGTTGCTTTCGTCCCATATTTGAATTGGATCTTTGACTTCGGACAGCTTGTGTTGCAGTGTGCGGTCTATCCGGAAAAAAACCCGGATGTTGTAATTACCGAGGATATTTCTGATTGCTTCAGATGTCCCCGATCTGGAGGGGATACCAATGGATGTCAGCCAGTCTGATGGAACCTTGCTTTCCGCGGTTATTTTAGGTTTGGTAAGCTCGTGTCGTACGAACCACTTGTGGGTAGTTGTTGTCCTGGAGTACCCGGTTTCAGCGTCGCAGTTCATCTTTTTGTGTTGCTTCTTCGTTGCAGAGGTTAAAAACCCATCTTGCTAGTGACGAGATAAGTGCACGTTTCATGCATTGTGAATGCGCAGAATCAAAATTCAGATATATGTCTGGTTTTCTGGGAATGTTTGTTTGAAATGCACGAGATTCACTGAGTTTCACTTGACAATCTAGAAAGTTAATGACTCTCTCTGAATTCTGTTTCCATCGTGAATCTTATCGAGTTATACTGATTGTTCAGGCAATGAAGAAAATCTGTCGTTTCATCTGATCTGATGACTGCGAAAGTATCATCGACGTATCTGATGTATAGGCGCGGGGAGTTCTTAAGTGTAATGTGAACTTTTGATTCTATAGAGTGCATAAACAGACTAGCAACAATCGGTGATACAGGAGAACCCATCAGAACACCATCAGTCTGTTTGTACAATGTGTGTTTGAACGTAAAATATGTAGAAGTGAGGCATAGGTCTACACCATTAATGACTTCATGTGGGATTAATAAACAGCTTTTTGTTAAAGATGCTTTGAAAGTCAATATAGAATGTATGACATCTAAACTGTTTCTAATGGGAACACTCGTGTAAAGAGGATAAAAACATCAACAATAATAGAAATTCATCTCACTGCAGTTCAGTAGTCTGTGGAATGCGAGCAAAATGAAAAGCATCATTGAATTGACTTACCAGAATTTTTTGATAAGGTTTTAAAAGATTTATGAGATATTCGGTTAATCTGTAGTTCCCACAAGGAGTATAGTTCACAATCGGGCGAATGGGTATGTTTGGTTTTTGAAATTTTGGTAAGCCATAGAATATGCCAGGTCTATTCGTCTTTGGTGCCAAAGAGAACCATAGCTAATTGGCACACTTTCTTTTATGGTTGACAAATATTTGCCCGTTTGAGACTTGCTTTTATTTAACGTAGCAGTTACTCTGTTTTCTTCAATGGTAATATAGGGTACACTGTTTAGATTTTCGAAAGCCTTGACTTCATAGTCTGAACTGTTCAAGATGACCGCGGTGTTGCCTTTATCTGCCTTCGAGATGGGAATGGCGATATCACGCATCAAGGAGGACAGAGCATTTCTTTCTCCTGTTGATATGTTCGGAGAACTGAACTTGTGGTTCTTAAGAACATTTCATATTCTCAGGCGGGCTTCATTGGAATTTTTCCTTTGAAAGTTTCATTATTGTTTGCTCTAGTGAAGGAACCACTTCTTGTATTCTTAGTGGTTTCCTCTCCAAGTTGAAGTTCTGGCCCT